TGCGGGCAGTCGGTTCTTAAAGCGCCCCTTGCCTGGGGCGGGCCGGGCCTCGGTGCGTCTAATGGGCCGGAGTAAGAGCCGATCTTAACAGCCCTTAAGGACTGGACCAGACCCCGCGTGGTGACTGTTCCTCGCCGCGTGCAGGAAGGTAAAAGTAGTGGGCCCTGGAGAAGTGAACCTGGAGGAGAGTCCAGGACGCTCGGTGCAGGCGCTTGGTTCCGCTTTATTCCTTAAGATGGGGTTTGGGGCATTTTCCCCTTTCAGTCTTGATTTGGGTTGCATCAGTAGACTTTACAGAGAATATGTGTGAAATATAGTTTGCCATTGATTGGAAATGGGAGCGTTTTTGTATCTGGTAGTTTGTTTTATGAAGATTACATTACAACTTAGAAATACGTCACTGTGAGCCTGGAAACCCAAATGCCTATTTTGATCAGGATATTAGTATACTTATTACAAGAAGCACAATGACTCAGAGTTGGCAGTGCTTTTGAAGATCAAGGCCTGTCATATAAACACATATTTTTAAATTAAAGGAAATTCGGGTAATATTTTAATTTCTCAGGATTTCCCCACCCTGCTTGAAAGCCTGACGCTTGTGCATAAAAGTTATCTTCTTATGTGACTGAACTCTTGTTCAAGTTTTTAAAGAAGTCAGATGTGAATACTCTGTTACAATAGTGACAGAATGGTGTATGTGTGTTAGTGACTGTTAACAAACCAAGAACTCTTGTGCTTCTTATCCTTTATTGTGCACCTCACAGATAAGGTAGCCTTTGACTTCTGGTTTCTACTAAACATGACCGCTTATTCCAATATTCCATTTTAGTTTGGAATAGCTTGAGCTTTTTGGAAAATGCTTTCCTTAATTTCCTTTAATCTAAAGCATGTAATAGCATTCAGCCAACAAAAGGCCTGGGCACCCATGTCATCCTTGATTTTTAAGATGTAGTAGACATTTCCTTTATGCAAACCACCAGGGAACTGACACTCAGCTTTCTCAAGACACGAGCTCTCCCAGAGCTTGTGCCCAGATTTCTTCACCAAGGCAAATTTCATTTTAATTTTTGTTGGATGCACAAACAGGAAGACATTACTTCCTCTTGATTCTGCTTTTTTAAAGCTGGAAAAACGTCTGATTTTTATGGCATGGGATCTCTTGCTTATATTCCCCTATGATGCGTCCATAGCTTCTCAGAATTGGCTGCTGGTCAGGACCCCAGCATTATTGTGTAAGGAGACCATTACCAGGTGGTTTAGGCACTTTGTGACTTGACAGGACCTCCCTCCCCCAACAAACGCTTCCTGTCGTTTATTTTCTCTTTTTCCTTAATTTTCCGTTTCTTTTCTAGGACTTCAGATGCATGCCAGGTTTCCGCTGACTGCTACAATCCAAGGTCCCCACACATGGAGCCCCCAAATCAGCATGGCAGTGGAATTTCATTAGTTGTGACCCAGCAGCCTTCTTTGGATGGCCGTCAGAGGACAGACAATGAGAGAGAGATTCCGCCTATTGCTATTTTGTCCCTTGACCAGATCAAGGCCATCAGAGGCAGCAATGAGTACACAGAAGGGCCTTCCGTGGTGAAGAGACCCGCTCCTCGGACAGCACCCAGACCAGAAAAGCAGGAGAGGACGCACGAAATCATACCAGTCAATGTGAATAATGGCTACGACCAGAGACCCTCCAGCCACCTGGGCCCCACGGGATCCTCGAGCAGTGCCCGGGGCCCCGTTCTGAGCAGGTCCACCAGCACTGGCAGTGCAGCCAGCTCTGGCAGCAGCAGCAGCAGCAGTGCCTCCTCGGAGCAGGGGCTGTTGGGACGCTCCCCGCCAACCAGGCCTGGCCCTGCTCAGAGGTCCGAGAGGGTGGTCCGGACCCAGCCCAAACAACTGACTGTGGATGACCTGAAGGGTTCCTCAAAAGAGGGCCCGGCCCAGCACAAGTTCATCTGCGAGCGGTGCCGGAAGTGCAAGTGCGGGGAGTGCACGGCGCCCCGGACCCTGCCCTCCTGCCTGGCCTGCAACCGGCAGTGCCTGTGCTCCGCGGAGAGCATGGTGGAGTACGGGACCTGCATGTGCCTGGTCAAGGGCCTCTTCTACCACTGCTCCAACGACGACGAGGGGGATTCCTGCTCAGACCACCCGTGCTCCTGCTCACAGTCACACTGCTGCTCCAGGTACCTGTGCATGGGAGCCATGTCGCTGTTCCTGCCCTGCCTGCTCTGTTACCCTCCGGCCAAGGGGTGCCTGAAGCTCTGCCGGGGGTGTTACGACTGGGTGCACCGCCCAGGGTGCAGGTGCAAGCACTCCAACACTGTCTACTGTAGGCTGGACAGCTGCACCTCCCGGGCCCAGGGCAAGCCCTCCTGATCTATGGAGGGGCTTGCACCTCCTGGACCTTGGCTCTCCAGCTGTGGCTGTAGAGGAAGAGGCTGTCGGAGGCTGAGCTTCTTTTCTTTGAGTTTTCCCTGCTTCCTGCCTTCTGCTCCCCATCCCAAGGTCTGACTCATGGAGTTACGTTTCTATGGTGGGTGATCTTCAGTGAGAGGAGACGGAGACTGCGCGGACTCCCACCGATGGCAAGAGCTGAGGGCCGAGGGCTTCTGGGTAGCCTTTTTCTTCTACAAGTGGCCCCCCAGAGTGGTGGCCACACACCCCCGACTGCAGTGGCCCAGGCTGTCTTTGACTGG